TTTGTTGTATGAGGGACAACGGTTGGGAAATAATACATTGTTATAAATAAAAGTTGACAACCTAACCATCCAATATTGTCACTGATAACCTATTCGTTGATGGACGTGTTGAAAGTGTATTTTTAATGGTATATCGCCATGAATATCGTCTACTGCCAGCGTGTTACCCACCATAAAAGATTGGACAAAAATACGGTCTAAAATAGATTTATTTCCAACCCCCCACATATTTTGTTCTTGTCTTGCTATCAGCATGTGTTCACAGAAAGAAAAAGATTGCGTGACTCGCATGAACGGAACTGACTCATACATGACAAGGCCAGATTTAGCCTTAACGGGACCCGAAGACACAGGAACCTCGCAAAACGTGAAAATAAAGGTCTGGTATAACTTGAAAACAGTAGTATCGTTAATTTAATAGCATAAGGAAAGGGATAGCTCACGCGAATGCAATACACAATAAATTCTAAAAGATCATGAGAACTTTGTAGTCCCTCGAAATGAAAGGCACTAAACTACTGCTTGTTTAGCTTATGCATAACTATGGCTCTGTATGTGACTGATTCTCCACTTTTAACATTACTCTTGGATTTCTCGTTGCTATCATGTCTCCGTGGTATTTCGTATCAAGTTCAACAAGTGTTCTTGATTCGCCGAACTGTACCAGAACTGATGACACTGCCGAGACTGAGGCTGTGGAACCATTTCTCTTTTTTATGGATTATTCAGGAATTAAGAGAGTTCTAGAATCGAAGAATTGTGGGAGAACAGCATTTCCTAATTCATTTTTTTTACTGATTTCATGCATGGAAATAGTCGGCATACATAGCTATACAGACACAGAGTTTTAGAGTTCTTGTTAATGAAAAAGAAAAGAAATAAGAAAAGAAAAAAACATTCACAGGTGCGGAAATTACGAAATTCTCTGGGAGATATTACGTGCAAACTCGTTTCGTTAATAATGAAGCAAAGTAAAGGAATATATTATAAATAACTCATTTGTATATTATGCAAACAATAACATGCAATGATATATTAATTTACTCGCTAAGTACGGGCATACACACACACACACACACACAACACACACACACACACACACACACACACACACACACAACATCACACACACACACACACACACATACACACATACACATGAATAATAATTTTACTCGAGTGGTATAGATTTATTGTACCCACTGCAGGTAAAATGTGGGTCTCCTTTGATTTAAATTTCTCTTAAATCCTTTTTTAAATACATTCATACAACCTAATCTTTTTTAAATACTTTCATACAACCTAAATCCTTTTTAAATACATTCATACAACCTAAATCCTTTTTAAATACATTCATACGACCTAAATCGGATCTGATCACGTGCCTCGCTACACCTTTGCCCTAATTCTATGTCCCGGAATGACTATTACATTACATTCGCTTTGTTCATTATTTGCGGTTACACATTGATGACTTCATAAGTGCTTGGTCACCAGTGAGTCATTTACTAATCCATCTCACATTTTTTGTATTCTATATTACTTCAACTGTTGACAATAAACTAATAATAACGATAATGTCACCAACAATGATTTTGGTCCATTAGAGAAACGGGAAATTAGGTGAGGTCGCATGTGCAGCTTATCTTCAACTGGCTGAGCACTTGTTGAGCCATCTATTGTCAACTTCTTTCATAAAACAACACTTTAATGACCACTGCGTGTTTCCTGCAGCACATGGATTGATAATATTGTTAGGCAGGATCAGTGTAGGTTAGACATCACGTAGCGCAGGTCTGAACACAAGAATAGGGTAAACTTTTGAGAATTAATGATGGGTTGAGTTTTGAGTTCCAAAAAAAACAGAAGCTTTAATTATACACATAATGCAGTTTTGGGCATGATATATAGCAATGATAAAGAGGACTCCACTGATGTAAAAATCAATATTCATTAGATTGTTAATACATAATTGCCATGCTTATATTCATCTTAATCCCATTCTTAGTGACAATCAAGTATTGCACATCATTTTCTTTCCAGAATTATACCCCACCCTGATCTTTAACCAGATACCAACCCATAGGCTCATTATATATTGAGTATGACCTGCTCAGTCAAGTCCAGTGGTTCCCAACCTTTTTCATTCTGTGACTGTCATCTTTTTCATATTAAGATATTATTATGGATAATGTAATACTGTCATTAGTTATAGGGCAAGAACACTGTGTAAAGATTTAAATGTATTTATATATGACGTGATTATATGTAGGCCCTGCAGGTGAGATAGAATTCAGTTTAATTCGACGTCAAAAAATCTCATACTGCTCCTTGGCCCCCTAGGAGTACCCCGAGGCCTAATCCTCACCCCAACTCATCAGGTTACCCACCGAGTGTGCATACCAATTTCGTCAGTCATCCTCCCAGTTCATACAATCACCATAACTACTTGCATGTCCCAACTACAACTTGAACCTCATCCTCCTCAATTCTAAACCAAAGAACTAATAACTCTGGATTGCCAACTCTTCAAGCCATTCGTCCGGTTCGTTGAAAAGATGCAAGGCCGACCCAATGAACATTCGTAAATACAGATATGCATATACAGAGTTGAATGCTTGCCTGTCCATCTACCAGATATAAATATACATTCATCGATCTATTTATATGGTAGATATGCATGTGGAAAGGTATGAATGAGAACGAATATCTTAACAATACAAGAGATGTATTTAACCGGTATCGATTATATCTTTATCGGAAATACACGATAAGATAAAATCGAAACCGGTTAAACACATCCCTTGTATTGCGAAGATATTCGTTCTCATTCTAACCTTTCCACATTTGTCAACCTGATTTCGGTTCATCGTAGATATACATGTCTAGAAACTAATAGACAGGTATTTATTCGTGTTCATACGCGATTGAAACCGGCCGCCTGCCCCGCCCGAGGCCCCCGGACGCATGCGCAAAAGTGCCTCA